CAAATCCCCAAATCATAAAAAATGTATTCTCAGGCTTCCCACATTAGAAACTTTTATTTACCCCCACCATGACTATTGCTGTCTCAAATCCACCTGCACACTTGGATTCCCTCCCCCCTCTCAATGAGATATTTGGTACATCACTGAAAATAAGCATCCATACCTCTCCATGTTATTCGTGTCAAACAGGTGTCTTCTTCCTCTCGGCACTGGATCGTGGTTTTTACACATTTATCTCTGTTGTCTGGTTGGTTTTCACACACGTAACATTCTAATGCATAGCCTGCAAATAAAAACGTAACATTCTAATGCATAGCCTGCAAATAAAAACGTAACATTCTAATGCATAGCCGGAAAATACAGAACAAGCATCATAAACAACACATATTGTAGGGTCTAGAAGTCAAAGGCTAGTAAGGTATCATACCAGTAGTAAGTCATTTGGACAGGCACCTGGTAATTTCAATCCACCATTTGATTATTTGTGTATTTAAGTGTAATTTACAGTGATGTAACCTATTTTCGTGCATATAAGGATTCAACACTGAATTTCGTCAAAGTTAAAAAAACAGATTTTTTTTATGTCTTAGATGTTTCCTCAGATATTCTACAAAATAATTAAAATTGGTTTGTTTCGATTTTCTCTATGAATCCTTCACTTTGACCAATATTTAAAGAGCAACCAACTCGGCAACGGCGACAGAATGCGTCCCCCATTTTTCGTGTACAATGTTTGATCTATAAATAAATCGAGAAAAACACGTTGTATGGATACCGGGTGGTATAATTGACTACTCTTAGTATTTATCTTTAATATCAATTTATTATAACTAATGGCAATTCCTTCAAAGAACCATGATTTAAAAAAAAAATAGTGACTGGCAAAATAAGATACGTAGCATGATTTATTGCTAAAAGTCATTGAAACAACATAAGAATATGGCCTACATTGTGCTCCTTAGAATTTTTCTGCAGACACGGAATCCCCTATTATGACTTCATCTGTTGGACTACATTCTAACAGACGACACTTGGAATTTTGATTAAAGCTTGTGATTATAAGGAAATTCGGCCGATAAAAAAATGTGACGTTTGGTAATAACTGAAATCCGTCATTTTGTATTTGTCAAACTATACATTTTAACTTGCTTGAAATATTGGATTCCTTCTACTAGCTAACATTGTGCAGATAACACAAAATAAGCAAATGCTTAGGTCATAAATGTAAATTATTAATCATTTCCGGAGATGCACGAAAAATAGGTTAGCACGAAATTAGGTTACTCCACTGTACCAAAATAACAACGATATTACAGAAATTTTAATTGACTTCAGACCAAGTTGAAAAACTATATCGAGTTTTGAGATCTGTTTGTGTAACAAGTCATATCCTTATATCCTTATACTGGTTTTTATTTTTCGAATATATTCGTCAAAGGGCAACATAAAACTTTTGTAACATATTTATCTGTATTAGTCATTCAAAAGGTACGCCGCCATTTTGGTCCCATAAATACCTTAAAATTTAATTTACACCTGGATTTCAATAATAGAAATTTCATTAAAGGTAAACAGATCGAAATCAAAATGACAACTTCAGCTTACCTGTGGCTATAAAGCCTAAGAAACAGGTTAAAATTATCAAATTTGTCATATTGTTGTTATTTTTTAACCACCATCTTCCACCATTTCGTCAACTACAGCGACACGTACCTGCAATTAGTCAATCTAGGTCATAAGGGAGATAATTCAGTAGAGGTAAATCCCAGACTACAATTAAATTCTAATGTACTAATCTACGAAATTCCAAACCAATTCTCAATTCTTGCAAAACATTTTCCGAGTTTGAAAAAATGAAAGGTGTTTATATTCTGAGGAGGCGAAGCCAGAAGCCAACGGATTTTTCACATGTGTATATGTGGAAGGGGAAAAGGGGGAGGGGGCATGGCCCAATGCTCCACTCCTTAAATACCCCCTTGACAAAATGGTATAAATGGTATAGACTTCGTTTGTGGTCATCGTGATGCATACTGAAATTGTTGATGTGGTACAATTGCGAAATTGGTATGAGAGACCAGTAGGTCCAGAATATTATATGAACGTATGCTTATACGCAATGTATATTTACGTCGTTAAAAGATTGTAAGGAGGTTTTCCAAATATTGTATGTATACCGGGGTCACTGATAACTTAAATTTGCATCATTCCAATTTTCAATCAGAATTCCTGCAATTTCACTAAAACTAAATATTTGATGACGTCACTAATCGTGAAGGGCCATATGTGATAATGCATATTTGGCGATTACCGAGATGATATCAGTGTTCCCACATGAAACCAATTTATTAACATCTGTCTGGTGAATTACTTATGGACGCTTTGTGATCATCGTACGTGAGCAAAAGTTTGTCAAAATTTAGGTGCACCAACTTGAGGTATCGACTCGGTCCCAAATATCACATAGGCCTACATGTATATCTGTTACAGTGAAACAGGGCGGAAATATATCATGTTGAAAGAAGGGTTATACCTGTTATAATGATATACACATATCGAATTTATCTAATGGAGTTTTACGTTTGCTTGGGATTTCTGATAAAATCTTATTCAATGGGTGGCTCAGTGAGTTCGACGCTTGCTCGCTATCCTGAAGGTCCTGGGTTCAATTCCGGCATAGGTCGAGATGATACCTTCGGATTTTTCAACCCGTGTGAATGCAGGTGATACAGATAAGAGGGACTGACATGGAAAAAGCTTCTAGTTATTCGGATGGAACAATAAACCGTGGCCCCGTGTGCTACAGGATGTGTACGTTAAAGATCTCTCGACAGTTGGAAATCGAAAAAGAACAGGCTAATGCCGCTATTCTGGAAAAAATTCCCTCATTGCACCCTGCATGGCGTTGCCCGTCTTCAAATGCCCACATGGTGCAGAAAAGTAGGACATAAAACTCTATTCTTTTCATTTCATTTTTCCTAATTTAGGGATTATTAAAATACTCTTACAAACCCTCTCATACCTTGAATTGTAAATACATCACACAAAAGTTAGACTTCTAATTTTAATCAAAATAGCCTGGTCCATGTGATTTCATTAAGGTAACAACATGGGCTACTAAAAAGAAACAATGATTGCCCCGTCACCAATGAGAATAAAAAAATCAGCAGCTACCGTGGTGTAGTTGGCACTGAATAAAATGCACAAAAAACTGAAAGAGATTGACAGGCATTTTGTATCGTCTTGACATTTCCTTATGCATCGAGAAAGACTAAGTTGTTTTATGAACAGGACTGGTTTTACAAAATAGTTGCATTTTTCTGGAGAGACTTTGAAAGACATTTACAACTGGGTTGACTGGAATAGTGAGGAAAGATGACTTATTCAGTACCCATTTACAGCTGGGTTGACTGGAATAGTGAGGAAAGATGACTTTCAGTACCATTTACAGCTGGGTTGACTGGAATAGTGAGGAAAGATGACTTTCAGTATCATTTACAGCTGGGTTGACTGGAATAGTGAGGAAAGATGACTTTCAGTATCATTTACAGCTGGGTTGACGGGATAGTGAGGAAAGATGATTTTCAGTATCATTTACAGCTGGGTTGACTGGGATAATGAGGAAAGATGATTTTCAGTATCATTTACAGCTGGGTTGACTGGGATAGTCAGGAAAGATGACTTTCAGTATCATTTACAGCTGGATTGACTGGGATAGTCAGGAAAGATGATTTTCAGTACCATTTACAGCTGGGTTGACTGGAATAGTGAGGAAAGATGACTTTCAGTATCATTTACAGCTGGGTTGACGGGATAGTGAGGAAAGATGATTTTCAGTACCATTTACAGCCGAGTTGACTGGAATAATGAGGAAAGATGACTTTCAGTACCATTTACAACTGGGTTGACTGGGATAGTGAGGAAAGCTAACTTTCAGTACCATTTACAGCTGGGTTGACTGGGATAGTGAGGAAAGATGATTTTCAGTACCATTTACAGCTGGGTTGACTGGGATAGTCAGGAAAGATGATTTTCAGTACCATTTACAGCTGGGTTGACTGGAATAGTCAGGAAAGCTAACTTTAAGTACCATTTACAGCTGGGTTGACTGGGATAGTGAGGAAAGATGATTTTCAGTACCATTTACAGCTGGGTTGACTGGGATAGTGAGGAAAGATGATTTTCAGTACCATTTACAGCTGGGTTGACTGGGATAGTGAGGAAAGATGACTTTCAGTACCATTTACGGCTGGGTTGACTGGGATAGTGAGGAAAGATGACTTTTAGTACCATTTACAGCTGGGTTGACTGGGATAGTGAGGAAAGATGACTTTCAGTACCATTTACAGCTGGGTTGACTGGGATAATGAGGAAAGATGATTTTCAGTATCATTTACAGCTGGGTTGACTGGGATAGTGAGGAAAGATGACTTTCAGTGCCCATGATGTCATGATTACTGTTATTAAGACTGTCAAGATTCCTGTTATTAAGACTGTCAAGATTACTGTTATTAAGACTGTCAAGATTACTGTTATTAAGACTGTCAAGATTACTATTATTACGACTGTCATGATTACTGTTATTAATACTGTCAAGATTACTGTTATTAAGACTGTCAAGATTACTGTTATTAAGACTGTCATGATAACTGTTATTAAGACTGTCATGATTACTGTTATTAAGACTGTCATGATAACTGTTATTAAGACTGTCATGATTACTGTTATTACGACTGTCATGATTACTGTTATTACGACTGTCATGATTACTGTTATTAAGACTGTCATGATTACTCTTATT